AAAAAAAGGAAAAGAAGCTCTGTAATGCTCAGCAAAGGAATGCGATCATCGGTACCTTTGAAGAGATATTCGACAGTCAGTTGCAGAGTGATGAGTCGTTAACCGTATCGATAAGCTGTTTACCAGAAATATTGTTAGCCACATTGGCAGATTTAAATGAAAAGTGTATAAAAAATGCTTAGAACTTCTAGAGTACCTATGAAAGCGAAAGGTTTCTTTTGAAAATATTTCAGACAAACTCAACTACCAAAAACTTTCTAATTTGCATGAAAATAGGCAGAAATGGGTTATTTCACCTAGTATAAAGTTTCATTGGGTTTTTCAATTTTTTTTCGAAAAACAAACATCGCCGCGAGAATCAGCATAATTGAAAACCTGTATTAGCATATTACTAAGGCTTCAAATCCTAAAAATGGTTGGTTGCGAGGCTACTCAGGTCGCCCCGGTTAAATGCATATAGCTACCAAACGAAAAAAGACAGGTCTCAAACTTGTTTAGTTTTGTAGAGCAAATGTTGCTCTATCTAGGTGTAAATTGGGAACAAAAATTTTATTCAGGATCCCGTCCGCGGCACTGTCGGATATTTTGTCCGAGAAGGTACACCTCCTGAAACTGAGGGTTTTCAGATCATTTTTAAGTCGCTCGATAGCCCCATGAAGTCACTTCAAAATGACCAAAACCAGACCTCTCTAGCTCATTCCCATCAAACGTTCTCCAGAAAACATCCGAGTGCACTTTATTTTGAAACAGATAGTAGTCTAAAGAGGCATTTTGGGCTGCTTAGTGTTGTATTAAGATTCATTTTTCTCAATTGACCCAAATGAAACTATATGAAAAACAATTTGTAACATATTTGTAACATTAAGAAGTTTACTGGACCTATTTAATAGTCAAGTATTGATGACTTAAGTAGTAGTTATGTTCACGATTTAAGTGTTCGTGAAAGTTCTTACATGATGAAACAAGCAACTGATGTTTGGATGTTCTGTATTCTATTTAGTTCATTGAGAAACTTTTCGAAATCATCTTTTGGTAGTGTTTTACCTTGTAATTCACATGATTTTAGATTCCATTGCTTATACTTTACGTCCATGTTTACCACACAGTCGGCCTGTAGTTTCAGCAGTTTCGATCCGTTCATATCTTTGGCAAGAAATTTCATTGTATCTAATTGAAGATCATTGATAAAGTCCAGAACATTCTGTTCTGTCCACTGTCGAACTGAGAGTTTGTTATATGAAGTTAATGTTGCCGGTGTACGCGGTATAGGTGGCAGTGGTGCTGAGGAGACAATGGTCTAATAGACGGTCGTCGTTGGCTTGTATTTGGTTGCGTAGAATCGTATGGTGGTGGTGACTCTCTTCCTGGAAGAGGTGGATAAATCATCAGTGACGATGGTGGTCGTTGTGGAGCTATTGGAGCAGATGGAACTATTGATGGAGGATCGTTTGGAGATTCGTCGACATCATCTTCATCCATCTGAATACCGAGTATTAAGTTTTCTTTTATTACTTTAAAAATGATGCCTACAGCCACATTTGACACTACATGATCATTCGAGTTTTGAAGAGATTCCAGATGTTTAATAAAATTTCGATCTTTTCGCATTAATGTAGCTACCCCTGCGTTAAATGCCATTAAATGTAATATATCTAGAGCTAAACGTTTAATTATTGGAGAATAATGATCATGTACTCCACATTGAATCAATGAGGATACACCGTCTTGTTGAACAATTACACGTTTGACATCGTCACTTTCTGTAAAAACTATAAAAGAGACCCTAGGTTAGAGATAATTATTTAATAAGTGAGTTAATTCTACAACTTAAGCTGATAGACTGGTTTGTCATCTCCAATAGTTTATCCCATGTCACGACATTCCTTAACGCCTTGAGTCCCAAATTATTTCTACTAAACTGAATCCTACTAAACCATGATATTAAGTTACTTTACGCCTGGGAATACATATAAAGTGGAACGCTTAAAAACTCGCACACATACACGAGGTTTACTCAGAATAACAATTTCTTACGATGGTTTGTCCATGATATATGAACTTTCTATCGAAAAGACAGACCCTCTATTAACGGACCGGTTATAACCGGTTCTATTTTAGAGAAAAAGTTCATATCTCATGGACAAACCATCGTAAGAAAGTCTGCAAAATCTTATTTTGTAGAGCAAACATTTGTGCACAAAACTGCCGATTCGAAAAAATTTTAAAAATGTTCTCCGACTTTTAAAACCGCTGACTCGGAGAGCCCCCATAAAATGCAAAGTGGAAATGTTGGCCTCAAACCATATGTTCTATAAAAAAACTTTGGTGTAATATGAAGAGAATTGTATAAGTTATATGAAACGTTCAACCAGATTGAAATTTGACTGTTAATAATGACTCTAGTTTAATTATTTTGATAATTTTAATGAAAAAAATGTGTTTAAAATCGACAATGTTCATTGTGTGCACAGAAACCGCTGAAAAGATTTTATTTTCTTCCAGTTTTCACATATATTTGATAGAGTTCAGCATTCTGAAGAACTTTGTCATTTGGTATAATACCAAAATCGACTTCTGAGAGACGGTAGAGGTTTGTCTCTGAGAATTGCAGTGGAGTGTCTCTGTTTATCCAAAGCATAAAAAAAGGAAAAAATAAAATTTCTAGTGCTGCTGATTATATGCTAATTAGTTTAATGAGTTTAAATGATAACGGGCTCAAAACTATATGGTAGAGAGAGGAAGATTCGGGCTGTAAAATGAGATATTTTTGAACTAATTATCTCCTAAGCTTAATTCACCAGTAATTGCACATTAAAACTCCATGTATTTGAATGGAGTGTCTCTATTTACCCCTAGCGTACAAGTGAAGTGTCTCTGATTACCCCACGGGGTAATTAGAGACACTTTGATGGAGCTCTTCGCATTTTGGATCTGGCTCAAAATTGGTCGGAGATTTTCAAAAGATTTTTACATAAGCGTGTAGAAAAATGTTCGGTCTACCACTGTGTTCAATAGCAAGTTTTTCCGACCAAACACAGCCAAGAAATAGCAGAAAAAGGATGCAAATTTCAAAGAGTGTCTCGAATTACCCCAAAGTACTCTATAACAAGACAGCATTCACTATGAGATTATCCTTAATTATGTCAACTTTAGACCTTAAGTAAACTTAATTAGAATGCAATTAATTGTGGATTTTACGTCCGCTTGAAGTACACAAGTTATACTGCACGCACCGATCAACTTTAGCCAATAATATTGCTCTTAGCTGATATTAAAGTCTTTTTCTTACAGCTGGACGTTAAAACACTTAGATCATGCGTATCTAATTCAAGTTTCAAACATTAACATTCGTACTGTGTATAACATAACAAATTACAAAAATAATTTTGTTTCGTGTTTTTTCAGTCTCTCTGATTATTTTGCTTCTAATTTTCTCATATTAAATTTACTTGATACTTACTGATTAGTGTTATACACAGAGAACAACACGAGTATGGCCACTAAACCACTAACATTCTATCTAACTATCACGATCCGAAGAGAAAGCCTCAAAGTCATGGTAGTCAAAAAGAGTTTATCTAAGTGCTTAATATAAAAGAAAAAAATATGATTGATTAAACGTTAATCATGAATTTTGAGAGCCACATATCTCAAAAACCAAAAGGAGTATTTTTCTGAAAAAATACAATTTGTGTACTTCAGATTAGTACCAGAAGCGGAACAGGATATAATTCGATATCCCGATTGAGATATCAAAAAAATCTATATCCGAATCAGCATATCAAATTTGATTTTTAAGTTGTAAGACAATGATAAATGAGAGCTGAATATTCTTCTTCATTATTTCCCTCTGTAACGTTCCTAGTAGTGTCTTTTCTTTCGTCCAGCTGATCGAAGAGACATATATCTTCTTAACAAATGGATTTCTTCTAATACTACACATGTGAGTGTAGTATAACCATAGAAGATACACTGTAAAGTCGGGAATTATTTATAGAAAATGCTCGACGTTTTTCAAAAAGTCCATATATGAAATCCTCACGGACTTTCCAGATTATAGAAAATGGAATTTCCAATAACGCGGAAAATCGACATCGATTTTCTACATTGTTGAGAATTATTTATAGAAAATCCTCCGGGATTTTATATATGGACTTTTTTCGAAAATCTAAAAGTCGGATTATTTTCTACTTTCTAGAAAACGATGACGGTTTTCTCGATGATGAGGAAGAACAATCTGAGTGAGAATGCTGATAATTAGGCATACACCGGTTTCGGTTTTTAACCGATTAACTGAAACCGATCCTAACCGAAAATGTTGCACAAGTTCTTGAAAATACGTTTGACACAATATGAAGGAAGCATCTGTTGTTCAAGCAGCAACTGTTCATCCCGGAAGAAAGATGCACGGTGTACAAAAGAAGAAATAAGCCAAATAAGTGGTACGACAATCAGAGACTTGCAAAGTGAAAATGGCTGAACATAAAGTTTTCCACCGTTATTAAAAGCTACTGAACTTCGAAATTGAGTGGGGCGTATTATTTCAGCTTATTGGATGACAATATGGTTCTTTTACTAATGAAAACCAATTCGACTTCGATCACGTGTTGAACGACTGTTATTTTATTTAAA